CGGCTGCCCGAGGCCCTCCGGCAGCGCGGGGGTTGGTGCCCACGGGAGCTTTAGGCCGTCGAGGTTCTGCTTTTCTGGGTTGCTGTGGGGTGAGGGTGTGTGGCCTGAGGCCGGGGGAGGCAGCTCGGCAGGGCAGAGGTGAGGCCGCCTCCGGGTGCAGCAGGGACGGGCTTCTCCTCAGCCTTGGTTTCAACACTGATAAAGCCCTGTACGGCTGGCTTTTGGTTATGCCTGTATGCCCTGTGAGTTACGAGGCTTGAATTCTTTGAGGTGGGACCGCTGAAAGCTGAGTGGTTAAATTAAGAACTTCTGAATGGCTTGCTTGTTTCTGGCTTTTTTGGTGGTGGTTTTTGTAGAGCCAAGGAAACAAACGATTTTTTAAAAATTCCTATCCCAGTTACTGTGCCTGTCACCTTTTGTTCCCAAAGCCCTCACAAGACGCGCTGGGAACTGCCTTGAAGAATCCCTAACCCTATAAGTTTATCACTGCAGTCTTTTTGAAGCTGTAGGCCAGCTGGGGGAGGAGAACACGCTGTTGATGATTGTTTCTTGTCTTGTGGGGCTATATGTTTAACTGTATGTGTCCTAGGACATCATTCTAGTAAAAGAACGTAGAGGCAGTCATATAGCCCTGTGCTACAGCGAGGGAGGGCACATCTTAGCTTGGTGGAAGACTAATGAGGCACCCTAGTTGTGCCTGCCCTAAGCAAAGCCACAGTAGGAGCTGTGGGGAATTTTTCAGTCCCCAAGTCTGAATTTTCTTGCAGGTTATCAGCTGCAAATTATAAGCCTGATGAGGTGAGACAGGCAGGATGGGGAGGAGGAGCAACCTGGTTCAGCAAAGGTCACATAGCAGGTGAGTAGTAATTAGGACACTGTATCTTACCAGTGTGAATACATCACATGTGTTTATCAAATAGAAGAGGTGGCTTTTCACCTTTCTAGATCTTGTTGTCTCTCAAAATGCATTTATTAAGGTTGGTAATGATATTATTGTCTTTTTTTTTTTTAAATCAGTCCATAACGATTCCCAGAATTACTCGATATCAATGTACTTTAGGAAGATTATTGGCTTTTCTAAATTTCTGCTGATTGCCCACTAAAGTCACTTAGTTGTGCAGAGAAGTGGTTACTTAGATTCCCCTTGTTTCTTAGCAGGATAGTGGCCAAAAGAGCTGCAAGATGAAGTGGCTTATTAATTAATTGGAAGTAGGGCTTAAATTTAGAATTAGGAGTATTTAGGTGCTTCACGGTAAGGAGGAAGTTTAACTGCCTGTCTAAGGAGTGTAATTATAAAGCAGATCTTCAAAGAAAGTAGAATTTTTCTACATTTTTATAGAACAGACTGTGCGACAGGGTAGGATTGATTTTATTTGGTTTTGGATTGGGAAATGAGCCTCTCTATATGTTTCAATATGGGGTCCTCAAATGACTCTGAGGAAGAACGAAGACTCTTTTTGACCCCCACCGCCCCCTTCTTTTTATTTATAGTTTATTTTCCAACATTCCAGGAGCTAGGAAGGATTGCCTTCATTTTCCCTTTGGCTTTTTTGATCTATGGTGAGGCTTCTAGGGTTCTGTTTGTTCCACCACCCTCCAGCCACTGTCTCTCTGGAGTGTTAGGGCTTTGGCATGTCTGAAACCTGGGTGCTGGACAGCTTGTGCTGGTCCTCAGTGGTGTTGGGGCGTTCTGACAGTTAGCCTTCTAAGTTGGATGGGTGTTGAAAAAGCAAAAACTGTTTTTTTCTTAAATGTAGTCCTTAATTTCCATATGTATAAGCAGTAAGCGGTAATGCTCGGAAGACTGGCTGAGCTTCAGAGATCTTCCTGCAGTGTCACGTGCTCACGATACTTTGAGTTGTGTCAAGATTCACGGTTCCTAGGGCTTATCTCTTAAAAGTGACTGGGACGAGGAATTAGTTTTGGATGCAGAAGTTGGTTGTTTTTATTGTTTAAAAGTCCCTCAGTTGTTAGGGAGGCTTTAGTTCCTGTTTTACTGTCACAGTTTAATGTTTGAGTTAAAACTATAGCTGCAGGAGGATATTCATCAATTAATTCCCTCGTTGAAATAAAGAGGAATCTGATGAGAACAAGGAGGGAAATGAGATCTTCTTGTATGTGGGAATTTGAGATAGACAAAATGTGGGTGGAGTTTTACATTGTTATTAGGAAGATACAAAGGGTGTAGGAGCCAGTGATGAGGGTTTCTAGTCCTGTTCTGAGTTGTGCAGTTAGACTGATGAAACAGAAAGGATTAGCTCTCTTTTGGGGAGTTGCTAGTGCTAATGTCCATTATGGTTGCTATACCCTACAGGATGCTGTGAGGGACAGGGGTGGTTGTGCTTGTTCCCCGTGCTCATGGAAGTATTCGGCTGTGGGTTTGGTCGTGGTATTAGCTAAGCCAAGCAGTAATGAAGAAGTGAGGTGCTGGGAGATAGGAGAGTTACTGTGCCAGTGAACGATC